AAAAGTATCGTAAATAATTGAGTCTTTCGCTCTCTATCTGAACTCTATTTATTAGCCTTTCAATAGTTCATAGCTTTTAAAATTTATACAATGAAATTCGTATAGTACAAATAGAAAAAAAAAAGAGAAAATTTAAATTAATGTGTAGCACAGTTAACTTGTGTTGGTCCACCTTGAGCACGAGGATCATCATCATCATAGATTTCATTTTTATTTGCACGTTGTGATTGTCGAGAATCATATTCAACTAAAACACATTCCTCTGCATCCATTGGTACACTAACTTGTGGACGTGGTGGTAATAATGTTTCTATTTTAGAAATATTTTCTGGACGTATTTCATTTGTAATTGGAAATTTAACATCAAAATGAAGAACAAGTCGACCTTTTTCTAATGGATTTCTATAAACAGGCATTCCTTCATTTAATATACATTTAATATCACCAGGTTTAACAATTTCACCTAAAGAAAAATGAATTGATGGTTTTCTTTTTGTTCTATTATTTGAATAGAATGAAATTCTTACCTGATAATGTTGTTATGACAAGTTGTCGATTGTCAAGTGTTTTAATAACTTTTTGAAAACCACATAATGATTCTACTAATGTTATTTGCACATTCATATGTAAATCAGTTTTATCTCGTTTAAATATCGGATGTTCTTTTTCATCCAAAACAACAATAATATCACCTGGTTCAAGTCCTGGTTCTTGATCACCTTCACCACTAAATGTTATTTTCTTGCCATCTTCCATACCTTAAATAAAAGATTTTTTTGTTTTGTTTTAAAAAGATTTTTTTTTTTGCAGATTAATTACCTTTATCAATATGTACTTCAATAATTTTTCTTTCTCGAATAATTTTTTTTCCATCACATGTTTTACATTTATCTTTTGGATTTATTTTTTCTCCTTGACCTTCACAATCTGAACAAGGTGAACGAATTTGTTGTATCATACCAGGTGCAATTTGATTAACTCGAATAACAACACCAGATCCATTACATATTGTACATTTTGATACTGCACCTTTTTTTCCACCACGACCTTAAATAAAACAAAACGAAAATTTTAATGATAAAAAAAAAAAAACAAAAAAATTTTCAATTTTACCTTCACATTTATCACAAATAACATTTTTTTGTAAAGCTAATTTTCTAACAGCTCCATTATAAAGTTCTTCTAATGAAACAGCTAATTGATGAACAAGATTTTTTCCTCGATTATCTTGTCGATTATTAAATGAACCACCGAAGAACATATTAAATATATCGAATGGATCTGAACCATGAAAACCACCAGCACCTGCACCTTCTTTTAATCCTTGTTCACCAACTTGATCATATAATGAACGTTTCTTTTCATCTGATAATACTTCATCTAGTAAAAAAAAAGAAAATTATTTTTCTTTATTAAATAATTGAAAAAAAAAACTTACATGCTTGAGATAATTGTTTAAATTGTTCTGGATCATTATCTGGATTTTTATCTGGATGTAATTTTAAAGCTAATTTACGATAAGCTTTTTTAATTTCATCCAATGTAGCATCTGGTTTAACACCAAGAATATCATAATATTTTGTTTCTTTAACCATGATTAATGAACGCTAGGAAATACGAGAAGTTTCTAGAAAAAAACGAAGAACAATGTTAATATAAACTGAATGAGACACTCACTGTTTGTTTTATATATATATATATATATGTGTACATGAAAGCAAAGAAGAGAAAAGAAAAACATTAACCGGTAATAGGGCGCGAACCAATCAGATGAATCAGAGAAGGAACATTTTTTCAGTTCTCTGAAATTTTTGTTTCGAAATAGATTAAAAATAATTATTACCAAAAACAAAAAAAAAATGCACAAATTTGACAAAAAAATAAAATAAATGAATAAAGAATAGAAAATTTGAATAAAGTCATTTAAATTTTTTCAATAAGTCCATCAAATCCATTTAATGTTTGATTCATACAATGAATATGTTCTTTTAATTTTAACCAAAATAATTTTGATGCTTCACATAATTCTGTTGGTGGATCTTCAGCAATATCAAAGAGAAGATTTGATAATAAAGGAAATGGCACAGCTGTATTTGTAAGACCAAATGCTGGACCAATTAATATATGTCTAAAACAAATATATTATTTTTTTAATTATTAAGATTAAAATAAAATAAGTTTTTATTTACTTGTATATTTTATCAACTGTATTCATTCCAGGTAGATGATCATTACTAAGAAATAAACGTTCAAATTCAATTAATTTTTCATTAATTGATTGAAAACGAAAATAACTATAAAAATGAAATAAAAAAAAAACAACAATTTATTGATCTGGTATTTTTTTTTAAATTCATATTCATACTCATTTTTAGATAGTTGATCAATATATGATTGAACTATTCGAATAGATTTTGTTAAATCATTGAATGTTATTGTGAAATCACCTAAAAGAAATTATTATTATGGATTAAAATAGAAAAATCTGTGTCTTACTGGGATCACCAATATGAGAACCTACTGAACCATATTCTCTATTATAATGATTAACATATTGAATAGCTTGTTTGTCTATTTGATTAGCATAATGAGTTAAATTAAATGAAAGCAATGGTTCATCAATTAATTGACGAATTATTTCAGTAACAAATTGTGTATAAGCAACATAAACTTCTGGTTGAATTTCTTGTTCAAATATAGGAGATGAATGACATACATAAAATGTATCATTTGTTAACGCCTATAAAATAGAAATTAATAAGTAACGATGATTTCTTAATTGATAATATTTATAGCAAAGAATTAAATCAACATGATCACAGAAAATATAAAACATTAATCATATTCTTCATTGACTCATAGATTTATAGAGTGAAAATTTTAGAAATTAAGTTTTAGAAAAACGATCTATACTTTTACCTTCTTTAAAAAAAGACCAACTATCTTGTTGATTGATATTCACACTTCCTCATCACAATAGTTACTCTGCTTTTTTTTGCGTTCTTTTTATACTGTCTATGACAGAATAAAGAATGCGTGAGAACATTCGAGAATATTTCAGAAAGGTATAGTGCTTCTTAGTAATTTCATTCTCCAAAAAGAAATATTATCATTGGAAAAGATTCAAAATTTTAAAATATCTATTCTTTTTTTATGATAGTAAATAATCATGCAATACTTATAGATTTTTTTCTTCTCAATTAAATAAGAGAAAAAATGAATTGAGACACACGAAAATAAAATAAAAAGGTGAACTAGACCAATAAAATAAAGAAGCAGGAATCAAAATCAAGATATAATAATCATATGTCTTCACACCATGATATTCAAAAGATGTAAGAAAAAACCCTAGCAGAAATTCTTATGATCTTACCGAAGATAGAAGTCGTTTTACTAAACAAAACTCAACATGTTGTATATATAAAAACTTCTTATTTAAATGATTTTTTTTTGTGGGGAAAAAGTATAGATATTTATACCTCTTGATTAGTCATTTCAATTAATATTGATGGAATTCCATATTGTAATTGAAATAAAGCAGCTGATGAATCGATATCAATCGTTTGAACAATACCTAAAGTTTTATTTAATCCAATTTGATTTTTAGTTGCTCTAAACCATTCATCTAATAATTTATGTGGTTCACATTCCGATTCTTTTTGTTGATTTGTTTCAACATGTTGTTCATGTTCATCACCATCACGTCGTTTTCGATCATGACCATGATGATGACTCTCTTCACTTGAAACTGTTGTTGTTACTAATCGATGATGACATGTATGATTATGTTCAAGTGGACTTGGTACGAAATCAGCAGCACGACTAGCAATCTGTTCAAGTAATGGTGAGCCATGTAAATTAAGAGTAGAATTTGAAAGAACACCATTTCCGAGATCAATATATGCTATTAAATTTTTAACAACAAAACGATAATTGTTCGAAAGCCAACGACGAACTAAAAATTATTCAAAAATAAAAAATGTTATAATTAGTTTTTATGTCTTGCTTTTCAATGTGTTAATTAGAAAAACAACATTAGTCATAGAGGAAAGCATGTTTTATTAATAATTGTTATTCTTACTTGTATAATGATTATAATCTAGACCAGACCAAGCACAGAATAGAATTGATCGTCTACAAAACAAAATAACAACTAAATAGTAAAATTGATTTTTTTTTCAAATTATAATTAACCTTGGATTCCAACCATTCTTAATTTGATTCATATAGGCTGCTACAATTTCATTAATGATTCTATTTTGTTGTGTTGCACCTAATTGATAACCAACCATGATAAAATGATCAGCATCAAGTCTACCACGAATTGAACTCATAACAACAGGCATATCTATTTTCATAGATTCCATATTGACAACTAATCGAATTTTCATAGTTTTAAGTTTTCCACCTAATCTTAATATAGTAGCTTTATCATGCCATTGAGTTGGACAAACTAACCATTCACTTGAATCTGATTGAATTAATTGAAATATTTTTTGAACATCATCATATGAAAGTATTAAAACAGAAATTGAATGATTGTTATTATTAAGAGTACCATCAAGATATTTTTGACGTTCTTAATAAATAAAAAATATTTAAAAATTTTTAATTTAACTTTTCTTTTATGATTTCGTACCGTCTGCAGATAAATATCTAGCCCAATCTCGAAAAAATGAATATCGATTATTTGTTGTTGTAATTTGTGCATTTTCATTATCATCAAATAAAACTAAACCATCAAAACCATAATAAATAGCTTGATGAATTTGTTCGATATAAGAAATAATTGTTGATTTACGTCTCATAAATACAATTGATTTTTCAGAACTTTCAAAACGAATACGATTTTTAAATAAATAAGCAAAATCTTCTTGTCGACCATAATTAACATAATAAATTGAATTTCCATCGATTGTATTCGATTTAACAAGTGATGAAAGTGCAAGAAAATTTTCTGTTGATAAATGATTAACTTTTAAAAATTCTTTTTCATTTTTATCATCAAATAATTGAATACCACTCCATTGTGTTGATGAAGCAAATTTTGATAAATTTATATCATATGTTAATTTATTTATACGAGTTAATGTTGAAGAATATGATTTCCATTGTTCATATAATTTATTAGCAGCATCATTTTCAGATTCAATTGAACTAAAAATAAAAGTTGTGTGAAAAAAAATATTGTAAAAACTTTTTTTTTTAAATTTTTTATTAAGAAACGTTTACCGAGTGATATTCATAAAATTTGTTTGTTTTATTGATTGAAATAATTTTGTTTGTATAGATAAATCAATCTTTGTGGCTGCTTCAAGTAAATTTGAAGATGATGATGATCTTTGTCCAGAATCTCCCGACATTCGATAAAGTAAAATAATGATTCCACAAAGAGCTCCTAAGATGAAAGCGGCCAAGACCAGAGAAAAACATAATATCGGATGAACATTCGAAATAGGATGACGTTGATAGGTTTTGGGACGCCTAGCAACAACAGGAGAATTGTCATTTCTAGCATTTGACGGAGTATTTGTTATATTATAATCATGATTATCATCATCGTCATCATCAGCTGCTGCTGCTAAAAGAAGAGCAGTTTTTTCTTCAGTTCCTAATTGACGCATATTATTGTTGTTCTTCGTCAAAAATTTAATAAAATGAAAAAATTAAAATCAAATATATGAGTATCAACATTTTTCACGTTGCTCAGACACAATATTTATAATGAACGTTTTTTCATAGATGCAATTTATAATTTACTCTGTTTCAAAATGAAAACCAAATATTGAATTAAGTGAAATAAAGAAAAGCAATCAAGTTATATATTTATATTTAAAATATTAATTATAGATGTCTCTCTTAATCGACAAGAAAAAAAATCTTCCTAAAAACTAATGACATATGATTCGATATACATTCACATTCGTTCTTATGTCATTCAACTTCATACTCTGACTACGATTAGGTTTCGCTCAGAGTAAGAAAAGCTTAAAAACACTGGAGTCTAAGGCCTATTGATGAAGATTCATGGCTGTTGTAATAGAATATTTATTGAGAACATAATATATCTAAAAAACCCAAAACAAATAGTTTCAAGCTGAAGATTTTGTCTACAAGTATATTTCGTAACAATTAAATGGTCCTGCTGTGAATATTTCGAGTACGATATGTTCGTTCTCGCTAATATCTTCAGAGGTATCTAATCATTATCAAATCTATCTATAAATAAAGTTTTAGCTCGAAATTCTTCGTTTCGAGTATTTCGTAGAACTGTGCTTGGAGTAAAAATTTCACCTGTAGACTATAGGCCGAAATCTATTCAGCCTTTTCTTAGTTTCACCAAGACTTATTTGTATCTATAATATAAACTTGAGTGGCGTTCGACAACAGGAGATATTCTCTGGTAAGAATAGAAAGTATATGTAGCATAACAATTGGATGCTTCTCTAGTAATGATTAGATATATAATATATCTTGTATCATTAAGTCAGAAAAATGCTATTATTTGAGAAGTCAAATATGTTTTTTCAAAATTTACATTAATTATTGAAACCATGATGTACATAGACTACAAGGAATCGAATTTCGACCTTTTGCAGTCGGTTTTCAAATCAAAACAACGATGAGTTTTTTTTCAAAAAACAACATATGATACATATGTTCAGGACAAAGTAACAATAAATATTTTTATGAAAAAGAAGTATTAAATATTTCTAATATTTTTTCGAAAAAGATATTCTTTTCGTGAATAAAAAATTAAAACACTCCATTGAATAGTAAAAAAAAATTTTCTTTATATTAATCTCTATCAAAATTTATTATTTGGCGTATATTATATAAATAAATAAATAAATAAATAGATAAATAAATAAATAACATTTACATATGCATGAGTTTTTCAGCATCGGAAGTTGTAGTTAATGAAGATGTTAGTATATTATTATCACCAATAAGAATATTTGCTTCATCTTCTGAACTAAATATTTTTGATGTTAAATCAGATATTTGATCAAGTTCAGGACCACTCTCATTATTATAAATTGGTTGTTTACCTATTGTTGTCGTCATTTTTCTTACATCGTTTGTTGTACGTATAGGTAATACCGGTAAACTATTATACAAAGTAGTAAAATTTCGTTGTTCATAAGATAATGTTGAAGATATTAATATGGAATCAGCATCGTCAATAGTTGATGATGAACAATGCGTTATATCAATTCTCGGATTTCGATTGTATTGAAATTTGGAAACAATATTCGAATCATTTAGAACAGTCGGAGTTACAAAAATAAGTTTTGGTTGATGTTTATTTACTGTAACAATTGGTGATACATGTGAATCACATGTAGCAGGTTGAGGTGGTGGTATAGTTCCTACTTTATGAGGTATTTCGAACAAAATAGAAGATGGTTTAGCAGCTACTGAAGTAGATTTTGCAGGAGTTTGATGAAAAGAGCTAATAACAAAAAAAAAATATAAAGAATTAGTTAATAATTAGAATCATTATAATTTTCTAAGGACATTGTCATGCTAGATTTTTATGATATTTTTCCTGTGTAGTCAATCGTGGTAAAATAGTTAATGAATGTATTTCAATGTTGCACATGCATTTCAGAAATATTTTCTGTTAGACGGCTCAACTTTTGGAAAATTGACAGTATGAAAATGTCATTGACAATTTTTGTTTAAAGTTATTATGAGACATTTTGTTATGTGTATATTGAACTTCATTTACATGTTGTGTTGGTCTATGTTATATTTATTTGAAAATGGTGCATTTCAATGATGCTCTGAGGAGAAAACTATGAGTGCAGAAAAGAAAAATATCTCATTTTACCGTGTTCAATTTTACGAATAGAATATGACTAAGTTTGTCTTTTCTTTTGAAAGTCAAGTATATGTTCTCTGTAACGAATAAATGTCACAAGTAATTACTCAATCTGTTCATAATCATCGATGAAGTTGCAGCTTTGAACTGAGAAACTCATCTGAGTCAAGATTATTCTCGTTTGATTGTTCAAGATATTCATATCCGCAATAATAGCCAACTACTCGTTATATGTGACATTATTGTATGTCATTATAATGTGGTTGACCTCGCTTCATCTCAATACTTCTTAACAGTCAATGACCACTCAAGAATATTATTGGTTATAGAGAACATATATTTAACTTTCAAAAAAAGACACTTTTAAGCATGCCCTAGCTCTCTAAAATTGAAAATGATAAGGTAGAATATTCTTTTCACTACATTATTACTTTTCTCCTAACAACATTATCAAATAGTGCTTCTTTTAAATAACTAAAAAGCAAACTTATACGGAACGTAAATGAAATCCAATATGTGCATACAAGTTTAATTGAGTCTATTAGCTATTGAATGAAGGAACTATAAATGAAACTAAAATAATGCATAGGAAAGGAAAGAATAAATGATTGAAAACGAAGCTTCTTCTCGTCCATGGAAAAATTATCATTAAATATGTATTATTCTATTTCTATTGTAACGACTATTGCTCTCATGAACATATAGTTTCATGCATTGTATTTCTTATTATTGTAATTAAAATTTACATTTGAATGTATAACTGTCAATTCAGAATTTATTTTCGAAAGACATTTTTTCTACATTAATAGTTTGTATAAAAGAATTACGAGACCTTCAGTGTGACATTTGACAATTTAATAAGTAAAAATACCTCACTTTCAAGTAAAAGTCACGCAAATATGTTTTTCTTTTCCTTTGCTCTTGAAAAAAAAATTGTGAAAAAACCTTGAAAAAGCATTCAAAGTCATCTTATTGTAGTCAATCTCATTTTAAATAATCAGTCATTTAAAAAGAATTGGAAAAAAACTACCTATCAGGTTACCAATTACTTGTCTAACTTAAATTAGAGACAACAAATTTAGTTTAGCATTTTTCTCAAAGTAGATTTTTCTATATTTGTGCTTAAGATTTCTCCATCGTTTAAAGAGAACATTGCACTCTAAAAATTAACAGAGTTGAATTTTTCGATTTCGACTTACTTTAAAATTGAATGCTTTACGATGGAGACACTCTGATTTTTCGAGAGAAAACTTCATTAGAAGTAAAGAGACAATATTGTGAAATATTGAGCTCTGTTAAGTTATAGCAATAAATCTTATCTATAATCGACAATCTATATCATTCGATTTCGAGAAGAAATTCTTGTCACATGAATTGACCATGGATGTTATGATAGCTCAATATTTTCTATCAAAATTTTTACTGTGAACTGTTAAGAACCGGACACACACTCTTCGAAGTTTTCATTCAGATCGATTATTTTGAGGTAAAAATAGGTTTCTGGAATGAGAATGCCTCTTAAACCTTTTATCAGTATGAATGTTTGAGACTTGATGTTATGAAATTTGTTTTATCTAAATTAAAATTTATTAATGAAAATGAAAAGTGCTTCTGTTCTAGTACAACTATAATATTTGTAGTAGCTATCAAATACTCGATGAAATTAGTCAAAATATAGAGACAACATTTCCTATTCGAGTTTCTTTTTTTTTTTGTTTAGAATAGTTAAACTTTATTTCACACTTTATCTTCCTGTTGATGAAACATAGTATTGTCAAGGTTATTCAATTCATAAGATTTCCGAATGACTCTCAAAAAGAAGTAAAAAACAAATAAATAGCTCTCATTCGTAAAAGAAAAACTTTTTTTCTTCATATTTCATTTTAATAAAAAAATAAAAAAAAAACAGTATTTTTACTTTTTTGATACTCCATAATGATGTTGATCGATAAGAATATTATTTAAAAATTGTTTAATATTTTCTTGCATGGATTGATCATTATTATCATGTAAAAGATTTTGAGCTGATTGTTTTAAATTGCTAAAAAACAATAAAACAAAAAACAAAAAAATATTATTTTCATGATTGAAATTGAATACTTGATTTGTTGTTTATATAATAATAATTGTTGATCTTGTTCTCTAATTAATATTTGAAGTGTATGATTTCGATCCAATGATGTTGCAAGATCATCATATACATGATATAATTTTTCTTTTAAAAAAATTATTTCTTTCTGAAGAAGCAGATCATTATCTGTTGAAATCCTTTGGGCACATTGAGCTATTGAATGAAGATTCTTTCCAAGAAAAAAAAAAAAATAATTAAGTTGTTATTTAAAAACAAAATTAGTTTTACTTTTTGAGTTAAACGTTGTATAAGACGAATATTATCTCGTTCTAAATGATCAATTTTCTCTTGTAATAATTGACATTGTGTTTTTAATTCTTTATTATGTAACAATAATTGTGTATCTTGAATAATATCTGTATCGAATTTCTTTTGTAAATGAACATCTATTGAACATGAAAAAACAACAAAAAAATGAATAATGTAATAAAAAAAAAAAAAAGAAACCAACATTGTTCATCATTACGACGTGTTAGATCATATTCATGTAAATGAACATTAGTTGTTTGCAATTCTCTTTAAAGAAAAATTCTTTTTCTTTTTTTTTAATGTAAATTTCATGATTATAAAAACTTACTTGCGAAGTTCGATTATTTCACTTTGTAATGGTATTAATGATAATTGAAATTGTATATTATCATTAACATATAATAGAGCTGATGAAAGAGAATTTTCAAGTTCATTCCATAAATGATAACATTCAGAATCTGAATATTATTTTATTAAATGAAAGCTTTTTTTTTTTTTATTTTAACATAAAATATTTACCAATAATATTGTTAGAATTTCGAGCTCGAATTTGTTTTGAAATCGTTTTTATACGTATTAAATAAGTAAGAAGTTGATCAACAATAAAACGTTTTTGTTCTTGATTCATAAAATTAGATGTTAATGATTGTATATCACTAAAAGATGAACTTCGTACTAATTCTTCTTTAGTTCGCATACGATGATGTAATGATGATGGAGGAAACTTTTTTTGACATTTGTTATTTGTTAATAAACTATTTTTTAATGGAGATGTTAAACGTTGATGAGGGCTTTGTGTTGGAGATGAAGAACGTGTAGTATGTTTATGAGATCTATTTGGACTTGCACGATTCTTTAAACATGATGGTTCCTAAATTAATAGAATCATTATTATTTGTTAAACAATTTTTTATTGTAAGATACAAAAAAAAAAAAGAATCAATCTTTTGTGTTTATTTTCACTTAAATTACTTATAAATATGTAATATTTTCAAAAGAAAAAGGATGAAAGAATTTTTGATAAAAGCGTACCTCAACGGTTAATCCATTTGTTGAATATAAAGATTTATTTTGTGAATAAGATGGTCGATGTTCATTTGTTTTTTTAGTGTTATTAATGTCTGAAAATAAGATCAAGTATTTTATTGTTACTTTACTTTTTATTTTTTAATTAGATAAACATACTCGTTTTAATGAATAACGGTTTAATAACAGTGACTTTTCTATTCTGTTTTTTCGTTCTTGTATTTATTGATGATTGTTGTTGTTTTTTCTGATTTACTTCACGAACAGTTGAGACTTTAGCATTTCGATGTGATTCTTTATTTTATAATGCACAAAGTAAAAATACTTTAGAGAAAAATTATTAATTCTACCTTGAACATGTAAAATATTTCGTAATAGTTCACTACATTTATCAAATTCTTTATTTGTTCGATATACAAGCGTTCTTGACATGGATTATTTGACTAGAGAAATAGCTGGTCCTGAATTATCTTGAATTACCACTGTGTCATTCTAATAGAAAATAAAAGAAAAGAAAAAAAAAATGGTGTGAAAATAATTAATATTACTTCGTCAAACACACCGAAATTATTACTTTCATTTCCTCAATTCTTGTCAAACATATCAATTTTAATCAGTTCTATCTCTAATTTATCTATGATTGATAAAAAAAAAAAAAAAAGGAAATAGACTTAGTGGTGCGGTTTATTATTAGAACATGTGTCTATTTGCTTATCTATATTTATATTTATATATAGAAGCATAAATACTGCAACATAATGTATTTACAAATGATGAATAATATAGAGGAGTATATAGGAGAAAAAATGACGAGACTTTTTCAATGTTCAGTTTTAATATGTGGTTTAAATCGAGAAAAGTGTTAGCTATTACAAATTAGATTTTATTTGATTGTTTTTAAAATAAACCAAAGAGAAATAAGCTTACTTTCATTATAAGACGAACGACAAATCAAAACAGCTGTTATTTCTCTTTTTCTTATAACTACGATATTGTTACTTTGACAGTCAGATGAATTCTCATCGGCGACCTGAATTTGTTATTCTTCGAATTATGATGGTGATGACTTCAGATATAGACCAATAATGAATATGAATGTCAGAATGAATATATGAATGTAAGTTTTTTTGAAAGCGAAAGCAAATTTTAGTCAAAATGAAAAAAAATACTTTGCTCTTTTTCTTCTTCACAATCCGTTCTCACCCCGTCAAACCTCTGAAGAAGAAAGACTTGATGGGAAAAAAAGAAAAAAAGTTAAAGAATAAAAACAGAAAGGAAAAATGCTACTTAATGAGAACAACATGTGTATTTACAAGAGAGGGAGAGAGAGAGAGAAGGTAGAAATTGTTATTTATCTTCCTGCTCGTTTTCTTTTGTCTACAATTATAGATTAAAGATAAAATGTTCACATAATGTATCGTTCAAAAGTAAATACTCAAGGCATGTATGTACAACCATCCGGAAATTTATTTTTTGATCAAGTACAAAATGAATAAGTACAAGCAACAATAGTAGTTACATAAGTACATTATGTACACTACTTGACGTCTATTCAAATTCAAATCCAACATGTAAAAAATGGTCGTAAAAGAATGAAGATTCATTGTACTTCTGTTTGTTTCCTTGTGATTCAAATAAGAAGAAGTTTCGGTTTTTTTAAACTTTTATTAACAATCTAGAAAATAAATGACGTTAAAGAAATTATTCTTCTTGATCATTTAATTTATGGCCGAGTTGATAAGACACAATTAAGAATAGTATTCCGAAAGAAAAAAGAAACAAAAAAAAAAATTGTAATTGCATGTCAAAGAAAACTATATTAACGTTTAATCTTTGTACGGAAACATTTATGTATACTTATAAAATTTGAAAAAAGGTCAATTGTGCTTGTTAAATAATGTCGATAGAAATGCATTTTCTTTTGTTCTTCATTTCTCTAGAGTTATTTATTACTGAGAATAACTATTTGTCCATTATTTGTTAATTCTTAGTTATTCTTCAAAAGCTATAAAATTTCGTTGCCAAATTCTATGGTGATATTTTTCAATTGAGTGACATTCGAATTTACATATTTATTTTTTTTTTTGTCCAAATATGCAGATCACTTTGAAAATCAAATGTCAATTGGTTAAGAAATTTTTTTTTTTTGACAAAGAAGACGAATATCTTATTTCTTTTCAAATTCAAATAAGTCATCAGACAGTTCTACTTGTCTTGCCTCTGATCATATTTATCAAATGTTTTCTTTTAAATGTCTATTCTGAAATCAAATTGAGTAGTTTGATCTAATCAAAATAAACATATTTGCATTCATCCAACCTTTATATTAAGAATGCACGGTAAATGATCGTTAAGAATTTCGATTGTTTGTGTTCTTATTATTCTCACGGCTATTGATATTTGTTAAGTAATACTCGACAATTTCATCTATGATTTACAATCACAATGGGTCACTCATTTAAGTGTTCTAACTTAGGTTTAAAATACAATAGTAAGCATTATCATAATATGGACTATCATTTACAGACAAAACATATTGATTTCAAACTAACAAGATCAAGATACTTTGCTTTTAATATATGAAAAGTGATTCTTTAAAAATTTATCTTAATTTAAACAACATATCAATGAACAGAATATAACACAGTTAGTCATCATGTACATGAACTACATTGAATATCAAAACAATTGCAGAATGAGGAGAACAATTCAATGGAATCAATTACTTAGACATCAAATTGAATCATTAAAACATTGAACACATGAATAAATGCATGTTTCTTTTTCAAAAGTGTAACTGAATGTATGACGAAAAGACAAATATTGTTTGTCATATATTAGTTTAATGATATGAAAAGTATTTCAAAGTCAAAAAAAAACATATAGTTCCAGTTCAATTATTTGTAGACAAGTATTTTATAATACTAATTTGCTCCTGTATTTTGACGAATAGTGACCAGTTTACGACGTTCTTCCTTTGTGTATGGAGGTTGTGAGCCATAAGAAATAGAAACAACTGTACTTCGTCCATCATGTAACTCAATCTGTCATAAAAGAAAAAATTGAAGTAAAAAAAAAATTCTTAAAATTTTATCAAATATTAGAGTAGAAAATAATTTTTTTTTTGTTTTCCATTTGATACTGTCTGGGTTTTTTTCTTAACATCATTCTCTTCTATTTAGTTTCAATTATTTATCAAAATATAACTTTTCAAAGAATTTCTTCACTATAAAATAAATCCATCTGTATAGAAAAAAACTTTTTTTTTTTTATGAATTACATACTGAAAAGTCAAGATCATGTCCATTCAGAGTTGAACATTCAATATTTACAGGTTGTAATTTGTACATCTGTGGCAACTCAGGATATAAATCACGTAATTTTTCTTCAATTACATCGCGATACTACATAGAAAAATTAGAAAAGAAATATCAAATAAAAGCGGTTGTTATGACATACTAATTCGAACTTTTTTTGATACCATGGATTTTTAGCCAATGGTGATGTTGGTGTCGCAGGCATCGATACTGCACGCATTAATGTCGGATTAGAAGTTGTAGATAATGTTTTATTTGAAACAAGTGTGTCGTCTATTGTTGCTTCAGTCATCTTTCTTGTATTTTTTAACTAAATAATATCTAAATTACTTCAGTTATGTTTGATTAATCGTTTAATAAGTAAAGCAGCAATATACACACGACATGAAAAGGAGAAAAAGAAAGCAAAAATAAAAAATAAACATTATAGGTGAAAACCTGCTATTATTTTTTTGTAATCTATACCCTTTTCACGCTTTTTTGCGTATATAATGTTATAAACAAGTTGTATTTTTTTTTGCTAATATGCGTATATATATATATATATATATATATACATATAAATTTTTGGTATATAAAGAAATCAGTGTATTCATATATGCACATTGTTACGCATGGTTTTTTTTTATTTATCTGTCTATGAAAGTTGACAGTTTCACGTTTTAGAATGTTTTTGAGCATGTCTTCTTTGATGAAGGTCTCTGCATCGTATTTGTATCGTATTATTAGAGTGTCTTACTGTAATGATTAGATACCGTATGATGATAAACAATTAATACTTATTTTTGATTTTTGAGATCTATTTAGTGCTTCCATAATGTTTATATTCTGACATATGTACGAATTGTTTTGCAAGAATAACAGTTGTTTCTCTTTACTTTTGCTTGTTGAACTTATTTTCCTATTATAATGGGAAGCTTTAGTTAACTTTTTCAGGTAGTTATCATTTTAAGCGATAGCTTTCAATGAGCTTTGTTGAACTCAAATTAAGTGTTAGTTTTGAAAAGGTGTTTATGTTAACTACAGTATTGAGTTAATGAAGAAATGTTTTCGTTCTGTAACTTCTCACTACTAGTTCCTTCGTAATAAGTTTTTATTATATATCAAATAAATACTTAGGTTTAACAGTTACTATAAATAAAGTATATTTCAACATTCGGCATTAACTGCTTTCTCTTTTTATAGTACAATAATTATTAACAGGTTCATTTTTCTAATATTTTCTAAACTAATATAAAATATTAGAAAGTGAACATTACAGACAATTAGAATGATGCAAATCGTTAAATCTAGACAATAATCATTCAGACCATAAAAAAAAAACGTTCATTTAGCATCAGTTAAGTCATACTCGTGATCGTTTGCAGTGCACATACGATCTTCTCACTGCACCCGTGAACAATTTATATACGACACTATATAAATACAATCATAAGTTATTGAAGAAATTTATGACAAAATAGGACATGTAAATAATGTTTATTCGATCGTCGACAATCATAAAACTGCCAACATTGAACCGTATATAGAAGAATTCATAAATCATTTAGATAATTATTTGTTACCTTTGTTATCCTATGTAATATATATTTTAGATAAAGTCATCAATAAAATTATAAAATAAATATAAATGAATGACCTTCAGCATAACACATTATTTCATCTAGTGATAGATCATCGTTTTAAGTTGAATATACTTGTGATCAAAATATTATTCAAACCGTATTTTGATGATGCTCAACGTATCCATATGATTGAAATATAAATAATTGTTTCTTCAAATCTTCGATTTACCTACTTAAACAATGAAAGAATTAATACATGATATATTTCTTTTTCACTTCTTGTTTTTTTATTTCGAATTCAAAAATTATCATTTGCTCTTGAGGGTTGACATATGTATAATAATTATAGAGAAAATTAAATTAAGTAATTCGTCATTTACATGAGAAACCGCAAATATTTACGTTATTCTTTCGAGTCACAAACCTTTACCTAATGAAGGAAAATTACGACCAGTGACAATCAAGAATTTCAGAAATATATTGATAAATTTGACAGATAAACAATGCTACTACTCTTTTCAGAAGAAAAAAGGAATCAATGCGAACATTATACATTTAGATAATAATTTCTAAATAATAGATCAAAGTTGAATACACCAAAGATTGCTAGCGAATATAATATAGGACGTTGTCATCAATTACTCGAATTGATTCTAGTGATACTATACTTAAATCATCAGTCTTATAAATCAATTAGATGGTTCATCGATGACGCGCCTAGCATTTGACTCATTATTTCGAAAAAAGAAACGATCAATGTCTTTTGTAAATCTACATATCTTCCATTGTCTTACAATCATTCTCTTATGCGGTATAAAAACAACAATCGCTAATACATTTTATTGTAGTCTTCACTTTATTGTCGACTACCCACTATGGATATTGGTATAACTATTTAGATTAATTTTTTTTTTGAGAGTCAGTTACGTTCAATTATGATCTATTATCGCTTAGACATACACAACACGAGCAGATCACGATTATTTTCGAACAAATACTTTACTGAGTACTTATATCTATCGAAATGTAGAAGGACTCAATGAACTCTACAGTCGTTATCGTTTTCCGTATATATCAAAAACAAAAAATATTACTGTACAATTCTTTGTACATGGTATAACAGGTAATTCATTCATGAAGTTCGTATAAAAATACGAGGAATATATTCAACTAATAATTTAGTCGTGACACAAAATGTATGTGATCAAAAACATATTAGAAACAATGATCTAGAGAATCCCTTAAAAGAATTTTGTTCACCAAATATAAATAGTGATACACTTCTGGATTTAGTTGCTCGATTTGGTGATTATGATAGGAAAACAAGTAATAACGAACCAGCATGTCTCTATTATGGATTTACATCAAGAAAACTTAAATCACAAAATAGTAAAACAACTACATTAGGTAATCATGCAAAAGACAATTATTTTATTCAATCTATGTTTACATTCCGTATTTTTAGGATGGTCATGGAGAGGACATCTTTGTACTCAATTAAAAGAATTAAGTGGTTGGTCACCAAAAAACACTGGTTTTAATCCTCGATATTCTGCTAATGTAGGTGTTGTTACAGCTAGTTTTGATGGAAGCGAGTATGTGTATTCCTATATTTGTGAATGTATTAAAATTTTATTTAATATATACATGTTTTAGTTATAGCTTGAATAAGTATGTCTTTTATTATCATAGAATTTTTTTTTTCACTTTTCTAAATATTATATATAATCATTAGAGGTGAAATGACATTTTTTCATGAAATTGGTCATTCAATGAATGCCGATCATGATGATGCAAATGATTTTAAAGATCGACAACAAGAATGCAATCCATCAGATGCACAAGGTGGAAGCTATCTTATGTATCCAACTGGTACCGAAGGACTTTTGCCAAATAATCGAGTTTATTCTCATTGTTCACTTGATACGATTTCGTATGTATTAAAATTTAAAAAGAAAACCATTGTCGTTCTTTCATAAACCTATTACTTGATGTTTAATTATATAATCTTTAGAAAATATACAGAAATACTCGGACAATGGAAGCCGAAATGTTTGTTAATTACAAAGACAGTTAAAAGCAAATGTGATGGAATTTTCTCAGTAGGCGAAGTTTGTGATGAGCATGGTACTTCTAGCAATTGTTGTACGTCAGACTGTAAACTCAAGCCGGGTGCTGCTTGTTCACCAGCAAGTTTTTTATTTGCAAGAAAAAGTAACTAAAAAAAATCAATAGATTTTTCTTTAGTCTGCTGGTTCATGCTGTAAATTTTCATGTCAATTTCATCCTGCTGGTCATCATTGTCGTTCTGAAAATGAATGTAAAATGCCTATTGAATGTTTTGGTACTTCAGCAACTTGTCCTGATGATGATATAACATTTTTTAAACCAGATAAAACTATTTGTCGTGATGGTACTTTACTTTGTATAAATGGTTCATGTGAATTATCTATTTGTGCATTATATTCTCTTCTACCTTGTCAATTAAAAGAATCGGAAGATAAATTGTGTATGATTGCTTGTCTACAAAAGGATGGTTCATGTGTACCTTATCATACAATTGATACGAATTCAAATTCTTCTAAACCTTTATTTTTTCCATGTAAGTAAGAACAGGATATAAATTATAGATGATGATACTAATAATCATTATTTAGATGGTTCATTATGTGATTCAAATCGAGGATATTGTGATCAATCTCATACATGTCTTCCTTTACTATTAGATGATAATACAAATCTAATTAGTGCAGGATTTAGTTCTCTTCTTCTTACTAATTATTCAACTATGTTTAAACGTTATTGGTGGGCATTCGTATTATTTATTCTCGCTCAAATTATTTTAATTCCAATTGTGTTATTATACTTTCGTAGTCATTGTATTCCTTCAGATAATCCTTTTCTTCAATAAAATATTTATAAGATTAAGAAATTTCGCATTTTTTCAAACAAATATATAATATAAACAGATAGAGTGTGAATGCAATCCTTCTCAACACCGTAATTCACCTACATCCGAGTGCAAATCAAAAGACTTTCGATGATGCAAGTAATATTAATCGTATAAAAAACAAAACAGTAGTAGTCAATGAACAAATAAAAGAAACAAAAATAAATTCTGGTTCAATTAGAGAATCATGCAAAGCTCGATCTAAATATTAATTGCTACGTGTTAATTGACAATTATGTTCAGTTGAGCATGAATATACAAAACAGATATTTACAAGTTCGAATTCGAATTTTTACGTCGAATTAACTTTGATGAATGAAACAGTTACGTACTAGGATATATGGTTGCTCGGACACTTCCATCGTTGGGAAGATTCTCACTAAAGAAACTTTTGATGAAAATACAATCGAACAGAATTTCGGCATTATAAAGAATGAGTTCTAAGATGGCTATGTGTATACATTCGTTAAAATCAAAGATGTTTTTTCGTGACTGTTTGCACATAGAAATGCTTTTCGTTCTCTATTTCCATAAATTTTCATGATAAATTAAGCTTAAACTATACCCTATTGTAGCTCGAGTTGCCTTGCATACACAGTAAAACTTCCACATACTCTATTATCGCAAAAACAAGACAATTTAGGCTGCAATTTGGTATAATTTAGTTTGAAATTAATTTATCATGAAAGTTTATCGAAATAAAGAAGGCAAAATATATCGGTGTACCAAGACTCATGGAAAATGTCTTTGGTCCTAACGATTGTTCTACAGATAGACGCCTCAGAGCTCAATAACATTAGCCGATCGAAAGTTGTTCGAAAAATACCCGTATCTATATTAAACTCTGCAATGGACAATATAGCATAATGATCATGTTCAGCAATAGAATTGTGCTAAATTAATTCCTTCTAAACAAATCGTTGGTAATATTGATTCATTGAGTGTATTTGGTGAATTTACAATTGTGAAAAAATTTGTATAACAATGGATGATATCGAACGATAAACATACGTTTTATTTGTTATGCTATTGATCAATAAATTTTCAACATAATGAACAGAAATAGAAGATTGAGAAAAATAAGTTTTTCTTTTTATGGATAGAGACTTAATTTAAATCGACGTTGTTATCAATTAATAGATAATGATGAGTTAGGGCTTCTTAGTGTTGGTGAAAGATGATTTTTCAATTATGGCCCAAATTTCTATTCTCGACAGATCATTTTTCCATTTTAAGAAATACTTTTGGATATATATGGTTTAGAAAGACAAGATCAACTTGCTATTAATTGCCGAGAACAACAAGGTTAACAACATGGTATTAACACTATTAGTTTTTCGGATGTGAATGAATTAGATAATATGTTTAAGGTATATCAAAGGTAATAGAAGTATCCGTATACAATACTATAGGTGACTCGAGGAAGGGTATGAGTGTAGATCTTCTCTTCACGTTCATACGCACATTTATACCTTCGCACTCCCACATCTACACCCTAAATCTAGATTTTCCGAAGTGGTTTTCTTAATGACAGCCAACAGGGTCGCTACAGTCAATGCAAACCAATCAGAACAGAACGTTGAGTGTAGACACCCAAATGGCCGTCTTCATTGTCACTTTCAGTACTTCATTGTATTGGTTCACATGGAATAACCAAAACTTTTCGTGAGCCTTAATCGACATTGTTGAAGCGATTTATTTCTTTTGCATTGATTGTGTCAACTGAGACTCACTTTATATGGCCTAATTGATCTCGACTTCGCGATTAACGTAATGACTCATGCATATGCGATTATAGAGAATATAAAGAAAGAGAAAAAAAATAGAAAATATGTTTCATATTCTCTCATCCGAAAATTCATTCTCTATCTATCCTATATGCTATCTATTCATTTCTGTTCGGTATGATGGAAAAATATCGAAAGGAAAAATGTCGAAAATACAGAAGCCACAATACATGTGAATGATGTCATCAAAATTTGAATGACATGGAGAGTAGCATCTCTACTTTCGACATTTTTTCTTTCGATATTTTTTTCATTCATTCTTCTGTTCTTTTTTCTCATAGTGTATATTTGAAGAAATTATATACTCATCCAATTGGTCATCTCTTTACACTAAGAATAAATACCCACATATGTGCACATGTTGAAACAATCGAGTAAGATAGAATCTGCATGACATATATATGTATACATTAGTTGCATTATGAGATATTTATTTAAAAGTTAATTTTTGATAGTTACGCTGCAAAAATTAAAATACAAGCTGAGCCATTTACTTATTTATTAAATTTAGTATGTCAGCATTGAATTAATTTTAGTTTTACTGAGTCTATCTTAAAAACAACTGTCTTTTTTTCCTTCATGTATTTTTAAAACTGAAGAATCTAGTTGACAAGAGTTTGGATGTGAGATCGTGATGAGTGTTTATTAAGTGGTTCATCAGACAATATCAGTTTAGATATATATTACACCATGACATACAACTTGTATACATGCATATGTCTAATCTACAACTTATTGTTGTCGTAATTTTTAAATATATTTCCAAATTGAAAGTTCTTTAGTTAAAAGTACTTGATCGACACATTATTTTCTCTATGTTAACTCACCGCTCACTACTAGAGAGGTCGATTACTGTTATGGACACCAAGTAACTGGTAACGGCGAATTCGGTGAGCTTGATTTGTTTGATGAGGAGTGGCCTATCTCACGAAAAAAGATGATTTCGTATAAAGTTTAAAGGAATGCTTTTGAGGTTGAGGAATTCGATTCTATGAATCACTTTAAAAGTTTTGAGTTTGACCTTTTCAGAAAGTCACCCATATGGACTCAGATTCCTCGGGCACGAACGCCTGTGATCAAACTTCATGATACATCCTCATTTTCTCAAAATACACTTTTTCTAGTCAAGAAGTAAAATTGACTGAATTTTCGTGACTTTATTATTGGGTAACATGCCATTCTCAGTAATTTTCCGTTTCCTGTTTACTATTGAATCGCGTACTGATGCTGATACTAATCGAGCTACTCAATTAATCATATATTATCAGAATTGTTGATGGAATCAAATAATTTTTGTTTTTACTGGTTTTTCAAACAGCCGGTTTATTCGATTAAAAATTCTACTGAGAAGTAGAAATGAGATTTATTGGTTGAATAAGGAAGTATCATCTCTCACTGTTATGATAGAACAGCACATCAACATGTTTTTGCACTAAAAGAACTCAAAAATACGGTGAATAGAAAAAAAATGATTGAAAAGAGAATTGTTCGCATAAAATCTATTTCTTTTCATATACCGTCTATACTCACGCTTATGTCGATTTGCACTGTTGTAAAAGTCATGTGGTCCCAATAATAGCAAACTATCGGCAAAAGAAAAGAAAGAAGAATACAAAAAGTAAAAATATGATTAATAGAGTCAAATGTTGAAGCTAAAAATGAGAAATGTCGACTATTAGGTATCAAAATTTGCTTTTGTGAAGTCAATCATTTATTTAAGCTAAAAACTTCAAAGAAAAACAGTGTTTCAATGTTTTGTGACTAAAACTTGATCGTTCGACGGTGATTCCGTCATAGTATCCCTGGTCAGTTAGAATGTTTATAAAAATTTCTAATCAGACCATAAGATAGAGCGCAAAACAGTATATTTCGAGCACCACTTGTAACACATGATGGTCATATGGGTTTTTATTAATTCAATAGGTCAACTTTCCCTATTTAGGTATACTAATTATGTGGACAAGCCGTTTTCAATTGTCTAATAGAAATTACTCTGCAATGACTTAACAATTTATTTAAAAGATTCACTGGAACCTCTTCTACATATCTGTTTTGCAGGTCGTGCCTAAAGTTTTTCGCACACTTTCTATTCAAAAAAGAACAAGTATTGGTGAGTTAGAACTGTGATTTGTATGTCGCTTATCGACTATTCAATCTGTCGATATCATAAGCTCTAATCAGTTAAAGCATTTCTGTGCTAATACGAAATCTTTTCTTTATATCATAGTATAAACAATAATGAGAAGTGAAAAGTCCAAATATCGTTCAATAACAAGAGTTTCTTGCTCTTAAAAGCCGTTTATAATCCAATATCTATGTAACTAGTGCCATTTTTTTAAGAAATAATGAACGATAGATATTATGAACTGTTATCAATCACTTTTTAGTGCTCGATAAAGATTGATTTTTACCAACAAGAGACTTCGTTAAAGAATGATGCTTGAACCTTCTACTGTTCATTATTTTTTATATTATGATATAAAAACGATGCATGTATTATAGAACGGTGAACATATTTGATTTATTTCTGAAGACATGTTAAACCGATGAAAATCATGTAAATTTCATCGGTTTAAACGCTAAAAACTTGTTAATAAAAAGAATCGTTTTTAAACTGACGTGAGAGTAAGGATTTTTTTGAGACATATCAAACAATTTTAATAGTTTAGACTAGAGACGTTTGAACACTATTTTTTTCGTTTGTTTGTCTGCCCAGACAAGGGAAGAATCAGCCACATATGAAATAACAAAGAAAGATAAAGAAAAAGTCAATGCTCAGTAAAGAACTTCACTTACATAGTGAAGAAAACATAGAGCAAGTAAAGGATAACAAGTCACTAAGCGTTACACTATGAATGAGCACTTCTGCTTAAAACTCAATTCGCATGACTGTGTATGAATGCAAAACTTTAAATTTTTTCGAACACTTTCTTTTATCAACGGAATTATAGTTTTATATATAACAGTCATATGATCGTATTAAAATATAAGTAGAAGACATTGTACTAAACAATAGCAGACATCATGTCGGCTATATCTTTTACAATAAATTATCATGTGAAGTATTGAGTCAGTTACTATTTTGAATAAAGCAGGTCTACGTACACAATAAGAGAAACAATCAAATAGATAATATTTAAGTCTTTTTTCATTCATACAAGTTTTACAACGAACTAATTTTTTTTTATCATGCTTTTAAATGTAACACTCTTGCGTGCTAACACATTGAAGAAAGAGATAAATGAATATTTATCTAAGTTAAAATCAGTGTAGAGCATTGGAATGTAACAGTATTAAAGAAATAAATAAACAAAACTGAAACACGTACAATCATGAATGAAAAGAAATGCAAGAAGTAAGATGCTTATTAGTAGAAAGAAAAAATGAGTAGTGAGCGATAAAATAAACACATTATTTTTTGTGCAGTCTGTTAACATATTGGTTTGTATAGGTAAAAAAAAACCCTTACTTTTTACAAAATTTAATTTAACTAAAGATTTTATTATTTGTTCTTCTTTGGAAATTTTTTTAACATAGAATGCAAGGAGATATTTAGAAGTGATAATGTCAAGATTGTGCATAGGGGCGAAAGGATATCAATCGAATGATGGGGAAAAAAAAGAGGAACCGTCGAAGTATACTGAAGCTCATCGAAAATTCTAGGATTCAATTTTTTCTTCTGCTAATTCCTTTCTTAGTATTCTCAGATCTCCATTTGATATCCCCATATATAAAATGATTTTATTCCTTAAAAAAAGATATTCTTTTTTAACACTAGATAATTTTCATTGAAACAAATGTTTGTTATATCGAATATCAATACTGTATATGATAATGAAGATGTATCTGTAAAAAAATCTTCATCTATTATTAAAAATGTTATATTTATTGGAATATGTTGTGTTTTATTACTAATAATGATCATAATTTTGTCTATTATTTCAAATCTTTCAATACAATCAGTATTATCAATTACATTTAGCATAATAGCAATAGTTCTTGTTATCGTTGTAGTTTCTATAAAATTTTGGAATAAATTTAAAAAGAAAAATGGTAAATCATTGTTATTCGAGAAAGAGAATCTTTTGAAATGTATAATAAATATAACAAGTATTAGTTTAACAATATTTACAATTTTATTCTCCGCATATATCATGTTACCATTAAACATTGGATATAGTCCATTTGTAACTTTCGGCTTATTTCTTATTTGCATGTCACTTATTATTAGCATCTTAACTTTTATGATTGTTGTGCTAATTAATGTTATTTGTTTTATATGGAGAAAATGTTTTTGTATTCGTCAACAATTATCTTCTAGGATAGTTTCATTTTTTATTGTAAGTTTTATGATATGTCCATTATTTATGTTAATAACGACAACGATATCAGGTTGTGAATTTGAAAGTTTTGCATTAGGATTCACACTTTCATTAAGTTTTACATTATTCATCAGTGGTATTACAGTAACGATTCTTTATCAATCAAAATCATGGAAAGTTATATCTTGTTTATTATCTATTATTGGATTTATAGGAGTTATTCTTATTCTTTGGTTTTATTTAATAGATGGTTATAATATGAAAATAGATGTTATGATATCATCAGCAAGATTTCCGCATAATATAACAAATGATCCATCAATAGATGGAAATTATTCTTATTCATTTCTGACATATGGAAGTGGTTTTGATGAACGAGTTGATTATGGAATAAAAGCATCAATCAAAACACCAACAATTGATTTGTCTTCAATCATTAAACTATCATCATTTAATAAAAATGTATTTAAATATAATGAATCTACTCTTCCTCTTAACGGTAGAATATGGTATCCAACAAATAATACTGGTCCATATCCTGTAGTTCTTATGGTACATGGAAATCATATATCTACAGAATCAAGTGAAATTGGTTATGAATATTTGGGTAAAATGTTAGCAAGTCAAGGTTTTATTGCTGTATCAATTGATGAAAACTTTTTAAATGGTGCACCATTCTTTTTTTCAACAGGATATGGAAAAATATCAAAAATAAAAAAATATAATTTTGGTTCGAATAATGCACCAGAATTTATTGCACGTTCAATTATAATATTAGAAACGCTTCAACAATTTCGATTATGGAATGAACAGAAAACAAATGAATTTTATAATAAACTTGATCTAACAAATATTGGTTTGATGGGTCATTCGCGTGGTGGTGAAGCAATTGTTATTGCATATTTATTTAATAAATTAAATTTTTTACCTGATTATCCTTCAAATGTTTTGTTTAATAATTATAGCTTTGGAATAAAAGCATTATTTTCAATTGGTGGTACAGATGATAATTATATGCCATTAGGACGTCCTCTTCAATTATATGATGTAACTATGTTTGCTATTCATGGAATATATGATGCGGATGTATCATCATTTTTATTTCAATCAAAATTAACAAATTTAAAATTTACATCTAAGTCGATGAATTATAATTTTAAAGCTTCATTATATGTACATCAAGCTAATCATGGACAATTTAATACAGATTGGGGAAGATATGATCTAATATCTGGTGCAAAGCAATATATGAATGTTCGTCCAATAATGACAATGGAAGAACAACAACATATATCTAAAATATATATGTCTGCTTTGATGAATATTGTTTTAAAAAATCAAACACATTATCGTCTTTTATTTGAAGACTATCGTTCAGGATTATCATATTTACCTTATACGAATTATATATCAACATTTCAAGATTCGAATGAAATAATTATTGCTGATTTTGAGAATTATGATGTTACTGTAGGAACAATTATTGATTCTAAAATTAATATTACAAATTTATTATTATGGAGTTCGGTTTATGTGAAAGTTTATCGTTCAACTATGTTACTCTTACAACCAATTGAAAATACAATTAGTAAATATACAATTCATTTACAAAATGCACTAAACGGATCTAATGTAAGATTTATGATTGGTCGTACACCTGATGGATTAGTTGATAATTTATCGGTTATACTAATGTATGAAAATGAAAAATATGATTCATTTATCGTACATGTACTTCCTGCTCTTACTAAACAACTGTTTAAAATAAGTTTCGAAGAATATGTAACGGCTCTGCAAACAATCTCATTACCATTGTTACATCCTATTATTGGTTTAGAATTTGTAATCAATGGGACAAATGCACAGTTTCTAATCGATAATATAGTTGTTGTTGTAAACTAATCCTTGTTTGTTTGTGTAAGCTGTTTATTGAAATAAAATATGAAAATTTTTGATCATAATTATTTACGACAAGCCTAAATCAGTAGCGATGGTACTGTAATTCCTTATGAAAAGCTTTAAGAAATTATCTCTCTACATAGTCTAATAAGAAAACAATGCTCTATTTTCCTTTGCAATTTAATCATACTTCAACTAATATTATAATAAGGATGGAGGTGAAGAAAAGACCAAGATCAACATCTACACTCTAATATTTGATTGAGAATGATTAGTCGGACTCGTTCGTTTAGGCTGGAAATGTTGTTGACGAAACACAGAGTTTCCTCGTCTGATTTGTAACTTTAAAAATAAATTATACAAAGAAACCTTTAGATAATTTCTAGTAAACACTAGTAAGTTCAAGCGTTCTTTTACCTATCGACCTGCTCCTTTCTGTCAGATTTTATTTGATAAGAGCAAGCGTTATATCACCATTGTTTCTTCAACAAGATAATGAATCATGCTGCTATGTCACAAAAAAAAGGAAAAAAACATTTCGTCACATGTAGGTAAGCGTCTTTTATCTGCACGTCTTATTGCAATTTACAGTGTGGAATAGGTAAAATGATTAAACACTCGATTCTTTTTGCGACACGAGTATCGACGGCAGAGTGAGAAAAAGGTCGTGAGTAGTACGAATTTTTTTGAAATATCTCGTTCCGATTTTTCGTACGCATTTAGTTCTTTATCATAGGAGTCATCTATGCAAAAATATTCAACAACATCCAAATTTTAGCCAAATAAAAATGGCTATCATTTAAGTGGTCAGTAAAATAAATGAAATGGTCAGTAAAAGCATATATAAATGATCAGTAGAAATATTGAATTGTCAGTAGTATGACGGTCAGTACTTAATTAAAAAATGGTCAGTAATTAATCATAAGATGGTCAGTTTTCTATATACAAGTATCAGTAAAAATTTCAAATTTGATCAGTAAAAGTGCAGATTTTATTAGTAGAAGAAATAGCTTTATTCATATAAAGATTAATTTATATAAGAAAAATAAATTAAAATAAATAGAAAAAAACCAATGAGTAAATAAGAAGAAATCCAAAAGATCATTATATGGAAATTCAAAGAATGAAAGCAAAAAAGAAAATGAAAATTCAATTATTATACTAGCAATATAGGTTTAGCCTTCACTAGTCTACCTCTGTTTTCTTTTCTCATTGATCGAGACGTTTTTTTTGCTAGTGGTTTACAATATTTCCAATGAACAGACACATCTACAATGTGTTTGCATATGCAGTTCTTCAAAAAAACTTAAACAGTTACATTTGATGTTTTCCAAGCTGAGCCATGTTTCATTTCCAAACACCAAATATTAAATGATTTTTGAATTGCATCAAAGTTGTCAATTTTTTTATTTATATATTTATTTAAATCGACTTATGTAATCGATTGTAAATGACTAGCTCGAATACAATATTATTCTGAAGCATCATTTGGAAGGCCAACTAAGTTTTTTGTTGATTTAGCCCATTGATAGGATAAAGTCTACAATTCTGAAGATATTGTTGATTCTGTAACAAATATTTTGCATTTATTGAAGAAGAGTTTCGTCCAGTTCACCAACTATCGACAATATTTGAAGCTATTGTCAAAAATCTCCATAAAACATGATATTCTCTAATTATTTCATCATTTTTATTTCTTTTATTAATTGCCTCTAAGGCGCTGTTTGCACTGGTGAGGTGATAGTATAACACGTTTCGATGTTTATACTTACCATTTAAATTAATTTACTGACCTTCAAATATATTAACGAACCAGTTATTTTAATAACTGACCATTTAAATAATTTACTGATCATTCATTTTTTACTGACCATTCATTTATTCTACTGATCATTTCATTTATTTTACTGACCATAAATTATATTCCCAATAAAAATCTGAGAATTTCATATTGAAAATCATGTAGAATTCTGAAAAAAAAGATTGTAAAACGTATATTCACGTTTTGAACTTCATACTCTAATCTTTGTTCGATAGTTTGATCTTTCTTTGGATTAGAAAGCTATAGAGCTAACTCTATACTAGAGTGTCTCACAAATGGTTCTGATGCAAGTTACATAAACTGAAACAAAATTGCAACTCCGATTGAAATAGCTTATTTTCTTATCAATCAAATATGTTCAGAAACTCCATAGATATCATAAGCATTTTTTTTCTCATACTCTTGTAAGTTCTAAAAACTTCATTCGATGTTCTATCGAGTATGCTGACTCGAAAACTGATATACGATTTTCAATTGATGTATTTTGGATCTATCAAAAAAATTACAAACACAATAGAATTTATTCGATTTTTTGAGAAATACTTTCTCGATGATCTTTTCCATCGAACTCACAGAATATATCATAATTTGACCTTTTTGAAGTTGAGTCCTGTGATGACTCGATTTGAGTTTGCACCGAGCCAATGACCTGACGTCATCCACACTTAGTAGAAATGAATGTTGGGTTTCCCTACTAACGGTTAACTCCGATTAGGTCCTTTTATTAATGGATGCTATCGTTAGTCAGAAACCATGATATGCATTCATTATCAACAAGTTAAAGAGAAAAGCTGATGCACTGGACTAACTTTTCTTATCACCATTTGTTCTCTTCTTTTGTTGTAGCATATTCTCTATTTGATAAGATAGATCAGAACGAATAGGCATATTGTATATTGAATCAAACACTATGGCACGACGTTTTACAAATAAATTCAAAAATAATTTATCGTTCAAAGTGACTCTTTTAGGCGGCGACAGCGTCGGCAAAGTATGATACATATCTCTAATGAATCAAACTGGTTTTTGATCAGATTTAATCGTTGAATAGACGAGTCTCGTCTGGCATCTTGTTCACAATAAACGTCTTAATAACCCTCAATCGACAATTGGATGTGATCTTTTCTTAAAAGAATTACTGGTCGATGGCAAACTGATCAAAGTTCAAGTGTGGGTAAGTCGTTCGTTTTTCGATCTCATTGATGTTCGTCTCCTTTTAGGACACAGCAGGCCAAGTTCGATTCAAACAAGTAACTAGACTCTGTAGTCGTGGCAGCTATGGTGCATTAGCTGTGTTCGATTTAACGCATCCTGATAGTTTCGATGAGGTTGTCCAACGGATCGAAGACTTGCGTCAAGTAACTTTGATTAATATACCGATTATTCTTGTTGGCAATAAATCTGATTTGATCAATCAACGGAAAGTGAGTTGTGAACAAGCAACGATACTTGCTCAACAGTTCAATATGTTATATATCGAAACATCGGGATGCCATGGATCCAATGTTGAAGAGGCATTCATCAATCTTGTCACAAATATATATCGCAAGATGCAAAAATTAACGAAGATTTTGCCACCAAAAATGTCTACTATTCTTGTTTCATCCAAAGCAATCACCAAAATGAGTATGTAACAGGATAAAAATCAATTGGTATACGTCTATTTGATCAAAATTATTCGAGGTTTGAGAGAGGTATTTTCTGCACTATAGAATAGTATTGAACCTTTCTCATAAGTGAAAATATAGCAAAACTAATTTCATGATGTGTAACACGAAAAACAGCAATACTATCTGATATTTTTATAGTTTTAGACACAGATTCTACGACCAACAATAACTCTCAAGAATCTAAGGCAGTCTTGGCTTCAAAAAAGATGCCGTGTTCTACATGCGGCAAGGTACCAAGTATTTTCAAGTGTTGTGACTGCTTACAAAACTTTTGTGTCTTTCATGCGACCGAACATCGGCAAATACTTGGTCAACAGATAGATGAAGTTCAACAGTGTAATAGTAAACATGAACTGATTTCTATATTAAACGTGAATGTAGAGTCGAGTTACCACTTTGGACAAGTGATTGGTGACGTTGACATCGTGGAGAATG